AGAGAGAGAGAGAGAGAGAGAGAGAGAGGCTTTTCTTTACGTACATGAGAACATTCTTTTTTGGAATCCAAACGTGCAATATAGAGAAGAGTCCAAATTTGAAAAGTCCCAACGATGTCACCTGGAATTTAACCCACAAGTTCCTCCCTAATTTTCTCAAAAAATTAAATAACCTAATAATAGGATTAAACCAGTTAGCCCTTGGCTAGACTACCAGACAATAATTAATTTACTTAGCTTTGTCTAGCCAAGAATATACCTTGCTCTACCCTCGCGTGCAGTTATGTGCAGAAGTTGCGGCTGGTGTCATAAAAGTGCGTGCGACTCTGCCCTGAATCTTACTCCTTTTGAGTTGAAGGTACCTCGAACGTGGTAGCACGTCTAGCTTACAGGAAAATAGGAATAAGAGTAAAAGGGATAAGTTGTTCAGTTGCTGATTTGTTGAAAATATCCTAATGGCTGGACATATATATGTATACACAACATAAACAGATAACATAAACAGATAACATAAACAGATAACATAAACAGATATGCTGGTAAAAGCTACCAAAGTTTTGTGCTCTATCATTAATTGTTTCATATCATGACTATTGCGATCGACTTTACCCATTCCAAGCTATAGTAGTCAATCTTAAATGAAGTAATTTTATAACAGTAGAGACTATACTGAGAGAAAAGCCAAGAATATATGAATCAAATATGATTAAAATCAAAAGGAACTGTGGTAGACTAGTGCGACTTACAAGGAGTGGCTCTTCTACCACTCAGATAGAACCCCGAGAAAAATTCTAGAAGCACAGAAGACAGTGTTTCGATCCAACAACTCGACTCATGCCTTGCAGCTCTCACTCCTACACCACCCACAGTTTCTCATTCGCTTTTTACGATTTAAAATATTTCAATATTTAAACAAATTCTCTTTTAGAAGTTGCTCTAGTCATCATGCAATACTCAGTGTAATTCCACTGAATGAGTTCTTGTGGCATTTTTGTAGATGTTTTTCATGCACAAGGCATGCAGGGATATAGGGTATTTCAAATACTATCTATATCTAAACTTGTAGGGGGCTATTTCAACAAAAGGAAAGGGTGTCGAAGCAAACAGTAGGAGGGATTCTGTAAGGGATATTTGATAAGGTATTCATATCATCCATACACTTATTCCCAAAGGGGGGTCTCTTCAGGATTGCTGGGATTGTTTATTTATTTGCTTTATTAGGAAAGTTTAAAACAATACCCAACATAGCACAGCAATATCCAAGAAAGGATTTTATAAAAGGTAATTGCAAAAAAGGCAATACTCTTTACAAATCATTATTAAAGGCCAGACATTGTAGGTGTTCACTGACAGGGTTTCTTAACTTCCTCAGTGTTTTTTTTTACATTTCTCCGTTGCAGGGTGAGCTAGTGTTAAGATATGATTAGATAACCAATGAAATAAAAAAAGCTCAGATAAGAGATCGATCACATTTATGCTTGYAGTCACTGCCGATCATACAAGCGACAATTCACATTTAGATATAGTGACATATATATCCCTTGGTGCTTGAGGGARGGCAGATCAGTACTAATACTGTCTGACCCAGTATGTGCAAGACAATCGCTTGGGGAATACAGTTAATTAACGTTATAATTTTCAATAAAATAACTTGGATCAAATCGTCAACAGTGCCATTTTTGGCACATCTGCTGTGAAGAAGTCTTTGGTCTTGTGTACTCATCAARGTATTTAAGTTGTCAATGAAAAGACATCTTAAACCTCGAATTCGCTTTGTTGKTGATTTGTTAAATACCCATAGCTTACTGGTGTTTAACATGTCATATATGTAGTGAGGGTCTTCTTCAAACAGTGGCCAAATTAATTGGAGGCACGCTCAAGAAGAGTACTACTTCTATTAGAACTGACAATCAAAAGTTTGGTGCAGATCAAGTACGTTAGGAAGGTTTACTCTAGACTAAATATATGGATATTGTTTATAAATATAGACAGCTTGAGACCAATTTGATCATTGGATTTCAGGACTGAATGAAGAGCCGCAGGTCAAAGGTTTGTGTGAATCCACACCAAAGGAAAAGGAAGAARTACTGTAAGAAGTGCGACAAGGGTAAAGTAATGATTGATACCRAGATAAGAAACATGCAAACAAGGAAAAATATTAAAATGAATGGAAGTATAAAACATGTACACTCAAAAATAGTTTAAACTGAGGCTAACCAAGGGAAAAGAGAGAAGCACTGTACGAAGTGCGGCAAGGATAAAGTAATGATTGATACCGAGATAA